GGATATGAAAATATGGTAGTGTAGACAGGGATTATGAAAACTTAAAATAACATGAATAAACAGGAAGTTTAGATAAGAAAGGCGATGGGATTGTCATTACTGAAAAAAATTTACCTGTTTATGATGGCCATGGTAGGGAGAGGGGTTGGACGTAATTCTTTTGGATACAAAGTGTGGGTTTGAGCTTTTGGATAGCTAGCGCCTCAGCTATGCCCAGATGTCTTGATTTGACTCCCTTTGGTAGGTTTGATTGAATCTTGTATATTACTTTGAAGGACTTTTCGAAAGGCGCTGAATGTCCTGAGTTGACCAGATGTTCTGTCACTGAACTGTTTACACGTTTTTGCTCTCCTTTTACCAGCCAGGCTGGGTAGTGTTCACGAGCGCGTTTTCCAAGTTGGCGCATGGTACGGCCGATGTACTCAGCTCCACAAGAGCAAGTGAACTGGTATATGCATGTTGAGGTGGCCCAATGCGACAGCTTGTCTTTCGCGTTCTGGTTGAACAGTTTCTTGCAGGAAAACGTCAGTCGTAGGCTTTCGGCGAAGTATGTTTTCCTCAGCGATTTGGAGAGGCGTTTGCGAAGGATTTCTGCTTCGATATCACCCTTGAATTCTAGATTAAGCAGAAGTATTTTCTTTGGGACGGATTGGACTTGTTCTGAAGTCTTCTTCGGTTTGAGATTCTTGTCTATGAACCTGGGCAGGAAACCGTTTTCCATCAGGGTTTTTCGGAGATTACGCAGTTCTTCTTCGATCACTTCCTCGCTGCATATCTTCCGAATCCTCGAGGAAAGAGCGTGTATCGGTTCCTCTTTCTGCTTAGCGGTACGAAGCTTTGAAAGTTGATGAATTGTCCAGTCCATGTAGGCTTTTTGTATATGGACCTTTTCAAAGAGTCGTTGTCATTTCTTGTCAGATGGACGTCCAGGAAGTGGAACCTTCCGTCGGATTCGGTTTCAAGTGTAAAGTCGATGTTTGGGTGGGCGTTGTTGAAGATTTGAAGTAGGTTTTCAAGGTCTAGCTTCTCATCACAAATGATGAAAGTATCATCAATGTATCTCTTGTAGAGATGAAGGCCGTCGATAGTTGATGATTGATAACGGGTTGTTTTCGAGGCTGGCCATAAAACAGTCGGCTAGGAGTGGTCCGAGTGGAGAGCCCATTGCTACGCGATCTGTTTGCCTGTAGATTTCATTGTTGAATCTGAAGTAGACGTTGAAGGTGCAGCGTAGTAACAGCTCCTTTAGATAATGCATCGGTATGCCGACATCTATGCTGTTGCATTGGATGAAGTCACACAGAAAGCATATAGTTTCTGTCAGAGGAACACTGGTGAATAGAGAGACGACGTCTAGGGAAACCACTTTTTTATTTGCGAGGTTGACATTTTTAATTGAATCCACGAAGTCGAATGTGTCGCGGAGGTTGTATCTAGACAACTTTTCTTTCACTGGTCCAAGAATTTCTACCAGCCATTTCGCGGTTAGGTGATATGGCGAATTGATCATATCTAATATTGGGCGGAGTGGGACGTCCTTCCTGTGTACTTTGGGTAGTCCATACATTCGTGGCGATGTAGAACCAGATGGGCGAAGTTTTTCATATAGTTCTGTATTGATAATCGATTCATCTTTCATTTTTTTCAATAAGTTGGTTAGCTGGAGCTCCGTCTGTTCAGTTGGATCTTTTTGGGTCGTCTGTTTTTGAAATTTGCTGTCATCAGATAGAATTGATGAGAGTTTATTCATCACATAGTCTGACTTGTTAAGCAGAACAATTCCAGAGCCTTTGTCTGGTCGAGTTATTATCAGGTTTTCATTTGATTTCAATTCTTCGAGTTGCTTTCGATGTTCTTTTGAAAGCATATTGCGAAGTCTAGGTTTTTTGTTGATGTAGTCGAGGCAGCAATTCAAAACAGTTGATTTGAAGTGTTCTGCACTTTCATATGAAATTGGGACTAGATCATTCGTTTGACTAATCAAATTCTCGAATTGTACTTTGGTGTTCAATTCATTTACTTTTGATGATACATCACAAAAGTTTGGTCCGAGCGACAACAGTTGCATTTGAATCGGTGAAAGTGAGACATCCGAAAAATTGAATACATATTTCTCGGGACAAGATGGGAAAGCTGTTTCCTTGGTGACTGATTTTAGGCTTTGTTTAAGTTTCATGATGATATTTTCCTTTCTCTTCTCTGAGACTGTATTGGCGTAGTGTTCGAATGACGCCCGTTCATCAACAGTTAAATCATAAAGAACGTGGGAGCTCATTGAGACGTTTTGTTCCAGTTCAGCTAATCTGGATCGAACGGCATCAATGTGATTCTGGGTGTGTCTTCTGAGCGTGCGTGAATTGGGGGATATATCGTTTCGTCTCAGATTTTTTGCGTGTTTTGCAATTTTGCGTGTTAACAATTGATACTTTTGTACTCGCTCAACTTTTGAATTCTGACTAATACGAGAATACACGTTCGTACTCCTTCTAAAGTGCCTTTCGATTAACTTTGTGGATGTCAAGTAATCACAACGTTAGGACACAATAATAAACGCGAAGAAGTAATAGGATATACGTGTACACTAGTTTGGTCAAATACAGCAATACAACAAACTCTCAAAGTCAATATGGTGCTGCCACAGTCTGTAAACAACAATTAGTTGTTTGTGTAGGTAGATGAGCAGTTCATGACTCATGACGACAGATATATGTATGAGATACCATGGTCTGAAAGGTGCTTTGAAGATAAAATTAGTATTTGGCGATGAGCAGGTACTATGCCAAGAGTCCAGGATTAGTGACGGTCGGTAACATAGTACAAAGCCTTTTTGAAACTTAGAAGAAAAACCCACCACTGGCCATAGACCGGTTTCTGAAAACCCCGTATCATCTAATGGAGATTTTTTAGGTCGGGTGGGTAATTTTGATTCAAATTGAAGTATGCGCAGAAGACGTTGCCTAGTAGGGCAATGAAAGCTTCGCAAATAAACCATCCAGCTCTGAGAACACAAATACATCAAAATCCCGTATGATCTTTTCTGGTCATCTTGTACGCCAGATCTTTATCTAACTGCTGTAGTATCATTGCATTTCTGTTCTTTCCTATGCTTGGTGTATTTATGTGAAGACCAACCTCAACTCGTTACTTCATAAGTCCACGCTCATTTCCTCTCACACTGAAACTACACACTTCCTACTTACCAATAAGGTTTGCTTTATTCTTAGCTATTCATCAAGCCTTCAGCGCGCACCAGCATAAAAACCTGAGAATGAACTGAGTCATTGAGCTACAGACACTAAGTGTTTCGTGGAAATAAATGATTTTTTCTTATTCCTTTGCTTTCTCAGTGGAAGATAAGGTTTCAAGCTACACCAGTGACACTATTGTTGTGGTTTACGGGATAGGATTGCTATCCCCACACCTAACCATCAGTCTTTAACGGGCTTAATACTGGCTAAGCTACTTAGTTAGAAAGTTAACTGAGGTGACCGAACTTAAGCGAATGACTGTAGATTGTTGGAAAAAATGCCCTGGTTGTTCAAAAGTTTCTTTACCCACTGTGAATTAATGGGTAAGTAGACGGACGATATGCCTCATTTTTTACATAATTGAGTGTACAAAATTGAAGTCTGGGAATAATGGATAGCTGTTTCGTCAGTCTAGTTTGAGGCTGTTCATCATTACGCACCCACCACCATAGTTCGAACCCAAGACCTTCTGGTTACAAGGCTAGCGAGCTGGTAGAGCATTCAGCCACTGGGACCCAATCCAATGGCTAGCCCATGAATTCTAACTTCTGCTAATTGATGACATAGCGCGACCACTTCACAATGTCTTCTTCGATGAAATCCTCCAACCAATCAAACAAAATCCCTACAAAATCCAATACTTGAATAATTGAAACAACGCATTTTCACAGTTCCGCCTTAACTTATCATCCCGGTTACGAATCTAATCATAAGTGCATTCTTAACACTGATCACATGCAAAAGAATCATGAACTGGACATTTATAAAGTTGGGCATAGGAGTGTTAAACAAGTAAACCACGAGTACATCTCCCTCTCTCTCTCTCCTTCGCTCTACAGGACTAGTTTAATCAATAAGTGAGCGAAATGCCACAGACTTCTATAAATTTGATAAAAATTAAAAATCACAACACAATCACTCAGATTGTTGACATGATGGAATTTCTTTTTCCTTCACGTTCCCCAGTGGAACATAGGGCTTCAAGCTAGTGGCTTGAAGTTTCTGTAGCAGTGTTCATTTTACAGGATGGGTGGCTAGCCTCATGCCCAACCTTTCCTCTTCACCAGCATTATTTTTGGCTTAGCGAGGTAAAGGGGTGAGTCGTCGACCGGGGATCGAACCTCGGACCATGTGCGTGGTCAGCGAGCGTCCTATCCGCTATGCCACCGACATGATGGAATAAGGCATCTGCTATTATCACCTCATATTACATTCAACTGTATTACTATTAGTAGTAGTCAAACAAAAACTTGGTACACATTCTGGGCATCAAGAGAAGCGACAAACACACACACACACAAAGTCTCATAGTTAGTACGATAGCTGGGATAGTACGCGGATGCCAAGACCGAAGCAGATGGTGGTGGTGATGGTGATGGTCTTAGGGCGGGGGAAACCTCAAACTTTTGACTTGGACAAAGAAGTGATAAAGAAGCATTAGGCGTTACGTTCTCATGGTTACACCGGTGAGCGAAATAGATTCGTTCATACGCAATTCGATCCTTTGGGATTTTGGGACCCATGTACATCATAGGCTCGGAATCAAGGGGTTCTTAACCCCAACAGGTGAACCTCTTTGTCACTAGTTCCGTAATGAGTAGTACCCACCCCCAACATGAAGGCATTGAGAATGATCTACCTGGCGTCATGAAAACGTCTACTCTAGTACTACAACTTTCCACTGTCAATTCTCAGGAAAGAAAAGAAACCTTACGAAAGAGGATAATCGGTCGACATAAATAAAGAAGACAATTTCGGAATATAAAAGTAAGTGGCTTTACATGAATATATTATTATCATTATTATTATTATCAACAATATTATTTCATAAAACGTTTTCGAAAATATTCATTAGTTTTAGTGTTATCAACAGGAGATTATTTAACTTCGCCTTTATCATCAGAAGATTCTGTTTGATCACTACCGGCTTGACTTTCATGTGTACGATGTATTGCACGTGGTAGAAATTCCAATTGTGTCCGAGACTTTCGTCTACAAAAGAAACAATAATAAAAAGTGTGTACATTAATGGTAATTTTGATTAGAATTTAACGTGAGAAAAAAGAGAATACCATATGCATATATGCAGTGAAAATCTGAGTAGTGACAGGATTTAGACCATTGGCCTCCGAATCACTAGTTCAGAGTCCTACCACAGCTCAGCTACTTGACCCGACCTCTAACTCAGGTTATGATTATATCCGCCATCACTATGGATAATTTCCAGATGTCATGTGTGTGAATGATCCGTAACTGTGAGTTTACACAGTCATCTCACACTGGCTACCATCTAGTTCGGTCTTCTCCTCCAACTGTGTTGTATACCAATCCACAAGTATCTGCGACAGCGCAGTCACATTGCAACAACAAGGAGCATCCGGCTAAAACGGATCAAACAGTTTAATCTCTTCAATCACTAAACATCGAGTAGTCGTGTTGGGATCATTCAAATATAATTAACACACAAAATAGTTGTTCAAGTCTTCTTCAGTTTGATGAGGTTATTGCATTAATAACGGCTGAAACGTGACCAATGTATCGAAAAAAAGTCTGACGTTGGACTTGAATTACCCTGGTGACTGACTAATCCCTTAGTAACTCTTTGTCTTTCAATTTTATTAACTTATCTTCCCACTTCTCTATTTCCGATCAACTTTCATAAGAAGCAATTTTTCCTAACCTACTGAGTTCTACTCACCTTTTTATTAGACCTCTTGTACACCGAGATTTAATCTCCTCTTATCTAACTGCGCAATTGTTACTAATTTGTGTTATCCCCCCGACAACAAATTTGTCAGTTAACTGTTTGAGAAACTTCTCTCCAACAAGATATATATATATATATCCTGATGTTTTATTCCACTAAAAAGCTCTTACAACCTGCATGTTAATCGACAAAAGTATGTTAAAATTGTACATTGATATCAGTCCGTGATCAAAATTATAATATACCACATTGCCTATAGCATGTAAGAGAAACATTGTGAGTGGAAGCGTATGGAAGAATAATTAAAGGGCTTCGCCCTACATAAACGAAATGCTGTCATGTGGCGAAGCGTCCATACTCTCCACCTACCAGATGAGTCCTATTCACTGCCTACACGCCACAGCTGGGATATTCCTCACAAAAGCGAAACAGCGAGTGATATCGTCAAGCGCTTACAACTGAATTGGTGGTGCACAGGTTGGTTCATCTAAGAGAGCTGCAAAACCCTGATTCCAAATTTATGGTATACATGGGCTCCAGAATTCGGACGAATTGAATGAAGAGTGAACCTGTTTTAGTCACTAGCAACCATGGGGACGCAGATCCACCTCCACGTTGGGGATCAAACTTCAAGTCAAAGGTTGGAGGAGTTCGTCCCTTATCGCCAGCTTCGATCTGGGGATCCGGGCAGTATCGCAGTTCTCGCACATCTCTGGATGCCCATAATAACTATAATAATAATAACTAATACGCAGAGAATAATGAGAATTAAGTGAACCTGGGAGACTATAAAAGGTGGATGCATCTGCATCATTTAGAACAATTATGAACCATATCACAAAATAGTCTCCAGCAACAACAGCAGCAACATCCACCGCCCATCACCATCAACGGGAGGGATTTGAAAGAGGTTACTTCACTCACTTATCTAGGGAGCATTATCTCAACTACAGGCAGTCAGAACGGACGGGGATGTCAAATCGAGAATCGGGAAGGCGAGGAACACATTCATCGCACATCATGAAACCAATCTGGAAATCTTCGTCACTCAGCCTGCATCAACAACAAACTGATTCGGATTTTCAATACAAACGTCAAGTCAGTCAGTTCTTCTATACGGATCAGAATCTTGGCCAGTGGGTCACAAAGAATATTTCCAACAGCCTGTTGCAGACCTTTATCAACAACTAACTGTCTTCGCTCTATACTCAAGATCAGATGGCCACCGGAAATAATCACCAACAAGAAACTATGGGAACCAACAAAACAAGAACCAATCGCTCAACAAATATGAAGGAGAAAGTGGAGATGGATTGGACACTCGCTGAGCTGAGGAGGCCGCTGGGTGACATCGAGCGTCAGGCCAATGGAACCCGAAAGGGAAGTGGCGAGTAGGTCGTCCAAGGGTGACATGGAGGAGATCGTGTGAAGAGGAGTTGAAACAGTATTAAATAACATTGATGCAGGTGAAAAGTACAGCAGAAGATAGAAACAAGTGGAGGCGTGCAGTTGAAGCCCTATGTTCCACTAGGAACCCAAGGGAACAATAATAATAATAATAATTGGTTCTTAGTGTCTCGGAGACCTCAACTAATCCAGACTGTCTACACTTCCCTACTTGGTTTACAAAACAACGGGTGTTTTTTTCCACATAATTGAATCCCATTGTAAGAAAAACCAAAACATCATAACAAACATTGTTTTTTAAAAAAAAGGTTGAAACCTACGCAGAAGATCCACCAGTAAAATCTGATTGCGGTGTTTCACATGTTTCATTGCTTTTCATTGTAGGCGGTTTAAAGCTTTGAGATGCATCCTGGCGGACAGGTGGTTCACTAATAGCTACTGACAGCACTTTACTACCAAACTGTAAACCATCGATAGCAATCAACGCTCGACTGGCATCATCAGCACTTTTAAATTCAATAAACGCATCACCTGTAGGCACACCATTTGGACAGGTGACCAGACAAATACTTACTAGTCCATACTGAAAGAAAAATAAACGATACCAAAATAAGTAGAAATGAATCATGAGTAAATGATGGTGGGTTGACAAAAAATACACAAACAAAAGAAGCCTCAATTCACAAGCTGAATAATGTGACAAATGCATAAAAGTTCTTTCATGACACATATTCAGTTATTCAAGAGTGACAAATCATGAACAACTGAGTAATGAATCCCCATGTTATCTGGTCGATAAAATGGTTAGCACGGAAATCCATGAGACGTGTTTCATCATGTTTAGGACTCGTCATCTGGATGTTCCTAGATCCACAGCGAGTAACAGTAGTCTTACTACCGATACACTAGCCCACTACTCGTCGTTTCAAACGCCAAAATGTTGTCAACTTAACGACGACAGTTAACTCTTGGTATATCTGGCTAAAAGGAATCAATCCCATTTTGAAGCGATGGGTACTGGATTCGATTCTCAGCGGGAACAGCATTACTTATATTGTGACAAGTCCCAAATGGAAATGAAATGCGTGTTCTGGATTGTACTGTTATCCAACGCGAAACAGATAACTTCAAGATAATGAATCCAGTGACCACGGAGGTTTTCGGGTGTTAAAAGATCAATCATTACTGCATCACGTCAACAATAACCGCATGAACAAAAGCTATACAATAATATTCTCAGCACGAATTAAGACACCTGAATTTCCTTTTCCATCAATCAACACCAATGGTATTGTCATGAAGGAAACTCAAAGAAACAGTCACAGTAATTTTCAGTTATGTATCTTTCTTTCATACAGTATACCCTAAACAAACCATCATGACGACTATTTGAGTGAAAGTGGAAATATACAGCCATATGAGTATTGCAATACAGTCGACAGAACATCATTTCAGAAGCCAGATATACACTGATTACAATTGGAATACCATCCATAACGTGGTCTCAATTTCGATCAAATGTCGGTTTCCAGGGTGTGTGTCTATTGACAACAAGTTACATCACAAGCTGATATCACTACTCACGGAACCAGTGGCAAATCAGGCAGTACTGGATAGTTGTTGTGACCCTTCATCAGTATACACCTACCGGGATTCAAACGCTGAACTTTCCAGTTACAAGGTGGGCTCGTAGACCATACCGCCAATGAGACCTCACCCAATCAATAGCCAGGCCATAAATTCCAACTTCCACCAATTCATGATACTGTATTTAATGTAACCGCCAGCTACTATCGCAGGAAAGTAACTGTTGTCTTGCCTCGCTTCGTGGATCCCGCTGGTCACGTTTTCCCACTAGAAATCCAAGTAACTTCCTGTACAAAGACAGTCACTAATGAGAATCACTCTAATTACTAAGTATTGGTTTGCAGGTATTTGAGAACAGTCACTCGCTATTGACATTCAGCGGCTGTCCCACTTTATGCATCCCGTGAATCGGCAGAATCTGGAATTCATGAGCCATTCAACCAGGTCCCGGTGGCTCAATGGTCTACCAGCTAGCTTTGTAATCGGAAGGTCCTCAGTTCCAACACTGGCCGGTGGGTTGTACTACTTCTGAAGAACCCCAGAATAGGACGAAACAATTATCCAGTACCACTTGATTTTTCAGTGATATCAGCTCATGATCAAAGCTGTAATCATTTTACTTGCCTTAATGAAATGTTTACATCCTTGTGTGGCATTTCTTGTTTGTAAAAGTCACTCTTTGTGAAGACTGGGCTCTCACTCTCTCACTGGAAAAGAGATAGCGGTGATCAGACGAAAACATGGCACCAGTCAATGAAATCTACAACAGTTAGTCTATGCCACGTAGGAAGGTGCAGACTTCCTAACTGGTTGGGGTCCTCGAGACGGTAAAAACCAATGAAGGCTGGAAACAATTGGTGACATGGCTCAAAATCGTTCTCAATGAATGACGCAGATGCATCCACTCCTTGTGACTTATGATTTCCAATGAAACTGTTTTGTTCTTCGTTATTACTATTCCTTTGTCTCACACCTCTGTTTACTGTCTCTCTCTAATATGCATTTCTCCTACTTTCTTCTTCTCTTGCTTTGTGTGCTACAAGGAGGGAGTGTGGCGATTTGAACTGCCGCACATCGGTGCAAAGTTCTATGTCGAAAACAGACAGGCTGGGCTCTCACTGATTCGACTAATTCTTTGGACTTATCAGTGGAACCTAAATTATTCAGTATCCTTCACAACTGTGGTCTGAGACAAAGAAACAGCCTTCTTGTATCTTCGTGTGCTAGCAGTTGACGCTGTGATTAGCGATCAGAGTAGTTTTATGTATTACCTACCAGTCAAAAAAGAAAGATATTGGATTAATGCAAAAACGAAGATACATAGAAACTAACCAACTAACCTCTCTAAATAATCTCACTAAATCTCCACTTTTTACATTTTTATCTAAATTTCGTAGAAACAACATTCCTGGTTCTTTTTTACCAACTGTATACTTGAATCCAGAGGCTTTCACTTTACTTGGATCACAGATGGATACAAACATTGGTCGTTTAAAGGGTGTCGATGATTTCGAAGATTCTGCCACCGTTGTCGTCGTTGTTGTTGTTGTTCCTTGATCTTTTTCATCTTGTAAATTATTGTCAAGATTTGATGAAGCATTATTCTCAAAGCATTCATCACTTACAACTGGTTGTCTATCTAATGCGAGCGCGGCGGTTACCGAATCTTTATGTTTGAATTCAACATAAGCGAATCCTTTAGATCGACCAGCATAATCACGAACAAGGCGAACAGAGGTTAATTCACCACACTGAATATTATCAAACAAAAGCAAAAATAAAGTAGAATAATACACAGAGATGGATTTACAAATTTATAGACTTTATAAAACCCAACTTTAATTAAACAGGATGGGCAATTCATCAAGTTGACAGCTGTTGAGACAGAAGATTTTTTGAAAATAGGATTCGAAAACCATTGACCTAATCTTGGACTCTATATAACCAGATGCTTTTTAATCCTTTGCGTTCTGAGTCGAACATACGTAGTATTCAAGCTTCAGCTTTTAAGTTTCGGTAGAAGTTTTTACAGCCAACTTTCCCTCTTCTCCGGAATTACCACTGGTTAAGCGACGTTTGTGAATGCATCGGTCGGAGATAGAATCACGGACCACTCGAGTGGGTCAGTAAGCATTCTACCAATGTCGAACCAACCTAAAGTCCGACCTTCATCGCTGAAACTAACTTAATAATAAGGGAACTATCGTATTCCGTAAGTCAGTCTAGTTGCTTATTTCACTCGACTATCGTTCCAGCCATAAGAGATTCAACAGCTACCGATAAATCTGAATCTTAGTACTGATATTATTCTCAGTTATAAGAGATTTACAGAAGGGTATACACTTAGCGTTGATAGTTGACAGTGATACAATGCTTCGCGATGATCACGCAGGAAATTCAGGTTTGATTCTCGCCCGACGGACTCACACTTTGAAATATCTTCCAGTTTACAAACCGACAGAAAAAGAAGAAAGGTTAGGTGTGCAGCTAGCAACTCTACCACACCCTGTAAAAAGAACAAGAACATCTACTGAAACTGTAAGACCTTGAAGCCCAATCTTTCATCATTCGGAACGCAAAAAAGTAAAGAAAAAACACTCTTGTAAAACAAAATTGATTTAATTAGTACTGTGTTGCAAAGAAACAGGTAATATAAATTAAACTTGAATAAGGCATTCAGATGACAAATAGTATGATGAGATGATATCATTTTACAGCTTTCCTATTGCTGTGTTACCCACCAAAATGACTGGCAGTAATGAAAGGTTTGACAATTAATCAGTTTCAAGCTTGGTCATAGATTTATAATAATAGCTGGAGAACCATTGAAAACCGGCCAGCTGTTTCGTGCAAGTTCACGACTCATCATCAGCGCCAGCTCACCACCAAGATTCGAGTTCAGGATCCTCCGTTTACAACTCAACGTCTTAGACTATTACTCAGCCACTGGGACCCAATTTAGTAGTCACCCAATGCAATGAATTCTAATTTTTACCAATTCGTGATTTCAGTGCCATCCATCACCCACTACTGGTCACAACTTCTCACTAGAAGAACTACAGGCAACTAAGTGTCCTCCGGTAGGTGCAAACTGACGATGAGTCCCAGACTGGGATGAGACAGCTGTCAAGTACACGCTGCTGGTTTTCAATGAATCTTTAATTGATATCCAGGCCGAGTTAAACTTTCACCAGCACAATCTACCAATGCAGTGCGCGACTGCACCAATGACCTTGAAACGCCAACACTGAGCAAGCCAAGGACAAATTGGGGTTAGGTTAACCTAATAAAGGCAACATTAAGGTTGGTTCAAGTTAGATTACAGTTAGTTTAGGGATATTTTCACGTTAGCGGTTAGGTTCAGGAAAGATTAGGCTTAGAAGACTGAAATAATTACATTGCATAGAACCTGGTTAAATTACTCTGTTAATATATAAGAATAGTACTCGTTCACTGTGGTAGAGTATAATTCCACTGATAAACTTTCACGGTGTTATACAGTAATATTTACTACTACTTCCTCGATAGTAAAACTTATCAACATTTTCAACCACTTCACTCTTTAGGCTTAAACAGTGAGTCGATATGGACCAGCTGCCTCAACATGAACATCATTCTACATTTGAATTTACAATGACATTCTTACACTACTCATGACTACAAGACTGATGCCTATTAAAAAAATCAATGAATAAAATCAATAAAAGCACTCACCTTTTCAAATGTCTTTCGTAACTGATCTTCAGTCGTTGAATAATCCAGATTACTAACAAATACAGTCAAGTCACTTTTCGCCGGATCGTGTGGAACAAATTCACCATGTGGCAAATGTTGTGAATCAGTTTTTGACATCTTTTATTGAAAAGAAAGAGGAAAGAAAAGGCATATAAAGTTGATAACCAAAAACAAAAAGAGATGCTTGTTCTTTAATGATAATTGTGGAACTTTCCCACCCATTTATTACAAATACAAGAATGTACGGCCTAGTTGATGGCTTCGTCGAATAGAAAATTTTCTTCCACCCTATGTATCCAAAAGATAATTGAAATATGGATCCACCGTAAACCATGGGGTGGGGTGGGGGACACTAGACAGCTCATTCACATCATCCTAGTTCAGGAGTCTTCGTAGCAACGCCCGCCAATGACCATCTCACAAGAGATGGAACCCAAAACCTTGAGATGTTACAAGGCGAGCTCATCCAGCTACACAGATATACCGACCGAGCACTAGACCTTTACTTTGGAAAAATCAGTTTTATCAATACAGCCAGCATTTAATGATATTTTAAACGTGATGCCTAGACAGTTATTGAAAACCAGTTTTTGAAAGGTACACTTTCAATTCAACGGATAGCAGTACTTTGACTTGGTTGTGTTCTTTCAGTTGTTTGATTTAATGGCCAAGTTTCCATTGTCCTTCTAGACAAGATCTTCGGCTCAAGCCTTAATATAAAGTGGACTTATTTGAATTCTCCACTTGAAGGATGATATAATTCTAACTCCTGACAACCATTGTTGTGATTGGTTGTTAAAATTGCATCTTTATTGGTCATCGACTTTTTATTGACTTGGAATTCGAACATTCTTGTCATTTGATTTACTTTTTTTGGCTAGTAAATTCGGTCCATAGTCATGTGTTTAATATCCAAGTATTGGTTTGTAGGGATCTGATTGATTGGTAGTTACCTGGGTTCTAGTCAGAAGTCGTGACCAGTAGGGCGCAGCAGGTCGGGTGTGAGGACAGATACTCGCCGAAGACATTGGCTAGCGGTCGCGCTATGTCATGAATTGGCAGAAGTTAGAATTCATGGACTAGCCATTGGATCGGTCCCAAGTGAGTTAATGGCATACGAGCTCGCCTTGTAAGGTCCTGGGTTCGAACCCTGGCGGTGGGTGCGTACCGATGAAGAGTCCCAAACTAAGCTTACGAAACAGCTGTCCAGCACACCCTGCAAGTTTTCCAATGCTTCTGTAACCAATGTCAGCTAATGATGAAATCCTGTAACCAGTCATGTGTTTGTTAATTGCTAATTAATTCACTTGAGTACCAGGCTTCTAGGAATTCCTTGACTGAAATTTTGGTGTTTCCTCTATTTAAAATTTCTACATTATCCCAACAGAATTGGTGTCCTTGATTGTCTACACACACGCATCGATATGAAACAGGAATACATGTCATGTCTTTTTACAGTTAATTTATTGTGTTTTCGGATTCCTGGTCGAGGGAGACGTCCACTTTGACCGATGTAGTGTTCATCGCAGTTCATGCATGCAATTTATTTTCTAGATCTGATCTTCTTTTGCTGTCGATGTCTTCACAATATTGAATGATGAGAACAGGAAATACCAAAAGTAATGACAGGGAATTTCTAGAAGTCTGGTTGGTAGTCAGATGAATCAGCGATTAACAAATACATTACACTAGAGATTCAATTTTACCAACTAATAGAAAATAAACCACATGACAAGAAAGTTCAACTTCCAAGTCAATAAAAATAATGATCAATGTAAATTGACTACCAGTCACAACAATGCTTGTCAGAAGGTACCAGTGTATTATCGATCATGGAAGATTCAAACAAGTTCAACATTATATTAAGGCTTGAGCTGAAGATGTTGTCTACTAGAAAGACAGAGAAGACTTCGCCATTTAAATTAAACAACTCAGAGAATACAACCATGTCAAACTCATCTGCCTGAGCTGCAGATCTTCTCTATTATTTCAAGACATCAGTATTACTGCTATTATTATTATTATTATTATTAAGCGTTTTCAATCCTGAAAGTATTGTACAGAAAGACGACATATTTACTAGACACCAACCAACACATCTCACTGAATTTAATTAGGATCTTTTTTATATTATATCACAACATTATGCATTAATAATCATTGTTCCTGACAATGTCGAGTACTTTAGTCTTTCTATGTCTGACTGATTGATTACAGTACAGTCCAGTACCTTTGGACTGATTGAGTTTGAGCTATATCCAATGTAGGACTATTTTTGCCTACAGATTTAGTCCTTCCTCAATACTGACGACACAGAGTCTCGGCTTAACTATGGTTAAAAACAGAATCACTCGACTTAAACTTTATCTGTTTCTAAAGCATAAAATAAATCATACAATTACACCAAGAAAAGTGTACAAATCCACTGTCATTCAAAAAAGGACAAAAACGTACCGAACAGTATTGAGGTAACGGACAAAATGAACGGATAATTACAGTTAATTACATGTACACACAAATCAAGTGACAGACAACAAACAACACTCAAGGTCACATCACGTGGTGTGAGTTACATTAAATTAACCAATAATCGCGACAAGAAGGTCACATCATATTGATTAGCTGTCTATCATACACTCGATCTATCTATCTATCTATCGCGATTAACATCCAATTATCCCGAGACATTGGACCTTAGCATCCCGATAAAATTAACCAGACACCCTACACCTCCCTACATGGCTCAAAAAAAACTGATGGAGATGTTATGGACTAATTGTCAGGTTTTAGATTGACGACCACCCCTAACTCTTTTCCAGCCTAATATCCTATGTCGACTAACATTGTTCATCGAAGAAGGCGCTGGTTCGGTAGGTGCAACACATGTTCTAGCGATCACAACCTCGTTAACTGACTAACCTAACACTCAACGGCTAACTTAAACATTACCCAGCAAATTATACGGTTTAACACAGGAGATAAAAAGCAAACATGTGGTCAAATACAGCAAGCCTTTTCATAACATCTTCTACTTTCAATGACCATGTATGACCATGTCTCATAGGTAACCTTTCTAAGTGTAATTAAATAAATTTGTTTAATGCATGGACTCAAGCTCATGAACCTAATAGCCATATACAGTTACGTTTCATTATAGATTGTCTACAATACTATTATTCCTGATACACATTTGTGACTATATTCAACTCTTCATCAAAGTACAAATTCAATTAGCCTACACACAGAGTGAAAACCATGAGCACATTTGAATAAAGCAAGAACAACAGTGTGGTCTGTGCAGAATAATGCATGGTACCATCATTGTTTATTTCGTTGGCTTCTCATCAGCTTCTGCTTACAGCCTAAATAAATTATGAGGTTTATGTACAGAAAAGTTTTAACATACTTGCGAATTTCTCCTGTTGTCAGTTGACAGAAAGTTCCACAATTAGTGAACAGCGCTCAGAAAATTACACTTATATATTTTTTACACAGCCACTTCAAGTTTAAACAAAATGAATGTATGCATACAATGGTAAAGGAGTTACGTAATAAGGATAGGAAATGCGTAAGATGCAGACTGACTGATATATTAGGTAACAATGTACTGAGTTCAACTTAAATCATAGAAACAAGAGGTAAGCAAAATTACAGATTTTAAAAGGGGGGGCAAGGTTAAAGACGAACATTACGTAATCGGATTAGAGAATACAGACATCCAGTTATCAGGGCAAGGAAAGACTGATAACTGCTTCTTTCTGAACACATAGATCTGGTTTCAAGCCTTTGATAGAAATTGCTTCGGCAAACTTGAGGAGAATCGACCTCCTTTGTCTGTTGATAATTTTAAAGGATTTCGTGATTTCCACCTCATGACCCGTACCGAGGAGATGTCTAGTAATAGGGCTATTATAAGGGGTTGTTCCCTTGAGACGTAGGCATTTTTATTCATGTTCAGAAAATCGGAGGTGTACCCTTCTTTCTGTTCTCCCAATGTAACTCTGCTCCCGCAGATACACGTGAATTTGTATACACAGTTGGAGTTAACATGAGAAGAGTATCTGTCGACTTTTGACTGCACCAAAGAGCATGTTGTTCGATGGACGGGAGCCAACTTATCTGGCTGGTGACGTATTCAATCTTCTGTTGACCATTGCTGCAATGTTTTCACCTTTAAAATCTAGTTGAATGAGGACAGGCTTTAACCTCATGCCCCTTTTATAATCTGTAATTTTGCTTACCTCTTGTTTCTATGATTTAAGTTGAACTCAGTACATTGTTACCTAATATATCAGTCAGTCTGCATCTTACGCATTTCCTATCCTTATTACCTAACTCCTTTACCATTGTATGCATACATTCATTTTGTTTAAACTTGAAGTGGCTGTGTAAAAACTATATAAGTGTAATTTTCTGAGCACTGTTCAATAATTGTGGAACCTTCTGTCAACTGACATAATGAAAAATTTGCAAGTGTGTTAAAACTTTTCTGTACATAAACCTCATAATTTATTTAGGCTGTAAGCAGCTGAGCTGATGAGAAGCCGACGAAAGAAGCAATGATGGTAGGAAATTATTCTGCACAGACCACACTGTTGTTCTTGCTTTATTCAAATTCATCAATAGGAATAAATGCATGAAGTTTCTCAAAAATCGCCTTCCCTCAGAATCTTTCAAATCACCACGAGCATTATTTGATGGAGGCTACTAATCCATAGAGTTCTTTAACAAAAAATATTTTTATTTACAGAAAAATCCAATAGCAGTTAAATTTCGCAACATCACTGAGCACAGTGGGGCATCGCAGTCAAATCTCTACCTCAACAGCTTCAAGGGCTTTGAAATGCCTATGACAGAGCTAATCGAGAGGTGATTTGAAAACTGCTTCAACGCAACGGAGTGCTTCAAAACCTTCATCAACCTCACTCAACAGTTGTATGATGAAGTCACATGTTTTTACGAGTTTGACCACGGATTGATTTCACTTGGAGAAGCATTGAAAACCAGCCACAGGGAGTACTGGACAGCTGTTTCAACCCCTCCTCCTAGTTTGGGAATCATCGGCAGTACGCACCCCCCTCAGTGAGGTTCGAACCAAGGACCTTCCGGTTACAAGGCAAGTTGGCTCGTACTTGAAGGTACTTCATAAACGAGTGAGAGATTTTAGTCTTCAGAATTAGGCATCGTTTTAGGTTGAAATCTTATCCATTAATGAGAGAAAAGGCAACTTCGAATAATGGAAAAGGATATTACTAAAAAATACTGTTCTAAAGAAAAGTTTTTAACAGTATAAGGTAAGAGCAGCGTTAAGAACTTTTTCTTAGCCTTCAGTTTACGCCTTTATAGTATTAGCCTGCTAACAAACAAATAACTGTGTAGCAGTCAGTAACATAATGGTCCCCAGCGTAGACATTGAACTAATTGACTATTTTCTGGCCAACATACTTGTGCCTAAACTTGTAGATTGATCAAACCAAGTTAAATTGAGAGTTAGTCAGTTTGAAAATAAACAAACAAGACCGGTTTCGCTCACACATGCCGATGCATCGACTATGAACTAACCAACCATTGGGAATCTGAGGGGCTAAATAATCAAAACATACTTCTTGAATGGCTGAGACTACGATCACTTTTTAGTCTCCATTAGAAGTAACATCAACTGTCGTACAGCTAGTCATTCTTACAAACTAAAGCCTTTGCCACACACACACACACACAACTGGTTCACTCCTAAGCACAGAACACCCTAGCTTGTTTTCTCAGCCTCACTAACACTTTTGTAGGTTATGCATAGGCAGATACGATAATGATATTATTATTTTATTCCTTCAAGTTCCCAGTGGAACACAGGGTGGCTTCAAGCTAGAGGTTTGAAGTTTCAGTAGCAGTGGTTTGATTTTTTTGTGGTGGGGTTGCTAGTTTCACGGCTAACCTTCCCTCTTTACTGGCTTTACTACAGGTTTAGCGAAGTTTAGGAGTGCGTCGCCTGAGGGCCGAACCCTGGACTACGTGCGTGGTTGGCGGGCATTCTAACGCTGAGCCACTGGCATCAAATGAGGAAATACAGTGATGACTAACCACCTGTAAAGGGACCACCCCACTTGGGTTCCTCCAAACTCCAACTAGTCAAAGCGCTCTTCTCTAAACTCCAACAGCACAGGATGGAAAATTATCAATGGATGTAAGATATCTCAAAATCTCGCTCGAATCCACGAATTTATTCAATCCCCTTCACATATATATAAGAATCACAGCTGGCAGATAATGATTAGTAAGAAGGGCTTTTTGGTAAATACTAGTTGTGGTGAAGTCTATCTACAATGTAATCATTTACAACGTGTAGAAACTGACAAACTGAATACTCGAATAGCGGCAGTTTGTGTAAATAGTGACTACTGACATCTTAGAAGCATTTGAAGCTTACAATGGGTACTACATTTGACAAAAATTAGCGCAACACAACTATTTATTCACTTTCGTAAATACTGACTGTAGGGATACCCGAGTAGCATGTATAAAGTGGGTCCTACATAGAGTAGAAGTTAGTATATTCACTTACTGTCGTCTCAGTGAAAGGAAGCAATACAAATCCAAATACTCATCGCCACTGTGCAACAGGATAAGATCATCGATAGAGACCACCTGTTTGTTCTTCCAAGTAAACGAAAACACTCTCAACAAGTATTCATTAGTTAGTTCAGTTCTGTTTGACTGCATACTGAAAATTATCACCCATAAGCACCAAACATTGCATCTGACGGGTGCAGGAAGTCAATACATTGTCTTTAGAGTAATGTATAAAAGCCTTGAACCAAGGTAAAAGACGTGAAATTCACCTGTGTCTATCTCATACCAAAAGCAGCAACGAAACAGATATAGACAGGATGACAGAGTCCACTAAAAACACGTGAATTAGTAGTTCTGACTGTGAAATATCAATTCAGATCAGAAATAACCATGGAGGCGATGCTGACTAAACTTGTAGTGACCCATTTTATTATTCATCATCGTATTATACTTTCCCTAGGTAATTGGACTTTGACTTCTTTATCACTCTAAAGATTGCGTGTTAAAATCACGGAATATACACATTTGATCATAGGGAATAAAAAGACAGTTGCAGCGAAGAAAATTTTCTTTTCGACGAAGTCATCATCTAGGCTGTACATTCGTGTATTTATATCAAATGGATGGGAAAGTTCCAGAACAATTTCTGGTTAGGGGTTGAATTAATAAAAATTACAATTAGGAATTAGAATGCCATAATAAACAGGGGGATGGGTAAAACTCAAACAAAGTAGCATTATAATAACTAAGAAAATTGACATTGTGCAATTGGGGGTTAGAAATGTAAAAATAACAAAATATACAGGATGTTTGGATAAGAAACTAGTGTGATGAATAATTGTTTATGCAATCAGGGATTAAATATGTAGAAATAATAAAATGACAAAATAAACAGGGAGTGTGGAT